TACCCGAAACGTTAACTCTGTTTTTTCCTTCACAGATGCTGCCAGACCTGCTGAGCTTTTCCAGCAACTTTGTTTTTGTTCCTGATTTACAGCATCTGCAGTTCTTTCGGTTTTTCGTTATAAAATGATTTTTTATATATATGTGTGAGTTATGATCTGGAATGGACTGCCTCAAAGTGCGCTGTAAGCAGATCTAATAGTAATTGTTGAAAGGAAGTTGGATAAACACTTGAAGGGGAAAATTTGTATGGTTATGGGAACAGAGCAAGGAAATGAACGTCTTTTAAAAAAAAAATCATCAATACCAATGGCTTCCTGTGTGCATCATTCTATGATGCTATCTTCTGCAGCACGGTTTACAGTTAGTTGAGCACATTAAGAACAGGAGCATATTATACCACATAATGCACAAGAATTATTCTGTTGCTAAGATGAAGCTGTGTGCAGCCTGCTGTGTGTTGCCGCAAGGCCAGGAAGTCTAATCATTATTACTTCCCAAGATCAATTAGAAGCCCTACTTGTTATTTGCATATCTGGAGTCCAATTATAGGGCAGAATGAACCAAGCAGGAAATTACTGGTTCTCTTCCTCTTGTTAAAAAAAAAAAGGTGTAACAAGAAGAAAAAGCAACAGACAACTCAAAATTTTATCACTCTGCTAAGTTGTAGCTGTTCATCTCTTTAAGGTCAAAAAAATGCTCTGCTGTGCTTAGGTCAGTTAAGAAGTCAATTGGATTTATTACAGCAGATGGGGGTAGGCGGTTTTGTTTTTGAAAATATATGACAATTTGAAACCTTCATTACATTAACTAACAGCAAGAAGGTATTGGGAGATACAGGTTAATTAGAAGTCACACAGGCTTTGGAAAAGTGTGCACAAAATTGCACCAGGTATGACGGCCAATTATTCCCATACAAATAAACAATGAGACCTCTGGTAAGAGAAAAAGGAGATGTAGTGAGAAACAATACAGTTCCATGTTATTATGGCTGTGTACAAGGAGGAATTTCTTCAGCTGGAGGGTAGTTAATCTGTGAAACTCTTTGCCGCAGAGTCCAAGTCACTGAGTGTATTCAAGACAGAGATACATAGGTCCTTGACTGGTAGAGGGATGAAGAGTTATGGGAGAAGGCAGGAGAATAGGGTTGAGAAAACTAACAGCCATGACTGAATGGCAGAGCAGACCTGATAGGCCGAATGGCCTAGTGCTGCTCCTATGTCTTGTGGCCTTATGGTGTATGAAAAGAAGGTACAGTATCAAATAACCCTGCATTTAATAGAACAGGCCTTCTGCAATTTTCCAGGCCTCAGCAGTTATTGCACGAATGAAGACAAATGTCATTTAAGAGAAAATAAATTTACCATGAATGGTTTCAGTTGTGTTAGGAAACCAACTATCATTCAAAATACAAGATTCTTCATCAACCTTTATCAGCCTGTAAAGCTGATATAGTGCCACTTTTCTTTGTGCCATTAAGATCAGCAATTATCACTTACAGCTTTGGGAGCCACAAAGCCTCCAGTTGCCATTCCAATTCCAGTTGACAGTTCAAACAGATCACTCAGGCCACTGCTCGGCACAGCAGGGGTTGGTGATGGCCCAAATGTAGTTGGCACTGAAGATGGTATAAAGCTTTGACCAACCTGTAACAAAAACAAATGAACATTTAACATGAGACGAGTACAAAATAATACATACCAGTAATTCAGTTACTCCAACTGGTCCACTGCTAGTGAATCAGAAATCAACGAAACAAGTTGGTTGGATAAACACATTCTTGAATAGATATTTTATTTACATACCTTTGCATTTATGGTAGTATTTGATGTTAAATTGCATTTGCCTCTGATTTGCTTGGAAAAGTTCTTCAGGAAAATTATTATACATGATTCTGAATTTATCCAGCAGAAATGATGATGGCAAAAAAAACAAACAAACAATCTCCTGAAGGTTTTGATGAAGTTGATATCGATAAGAGGCTAGTTAGTGTTTTGTTCCTGTTCATGTTTTGATATGAACTTTGCAGAAACTTACACCACACTCGCTCACTGCTGACCTTTGTTAATTCCATACATAGCTGAAACTAAATAAGCATGAGATGGCAGAGCTGCTGATTGGGTTAGATGAAGGAGGGTGGTGGGTGGCTTCCATAGATGATAAACACTAGTATGCACTATTACTGCATTGTACATTCAAAGTAATATGAATGACTTTATTCTAAAGGAATTTATTCCTAAACATATATTTGGGTCTTCCTATGCCAGGCCAAGGGAGTGAACAGAATGCTAACAAATCAAGACCAAATGTTAGGATGTGTGCAGATGAAGAGTGCCCAGTAATATTCCCGTTCTTTATTACTACCCAGACACCACTGTTGAAAGATGCACGCAACACGGGATTATACTCCAATGTGATAACACCCATAGTGACCAGCCTGTCAACGCTCACTGACTGGGATCAGACATGAAGACTAGGTAAACTGCCAGTGGAGTGGGGGCGGAGATGCTCACAATCATATTGCAGAAAAAGTCAGCGTCTTGAAGAGGGAAAATTGTAAAAACAAATAAAGCCCTTACAAACTTGAATTGTGATCTGTATGTGACTTTAGGAGAAAGACTCACCGCTGGACTCCCACCAGTAGGCCCGCCAAGATCGCCCCCAAGCTGAAAGATATAGAATACAGAGAGTCAATGGAAGCAGAGGGCATACACAGCAAGAGGGCATAAAGGCTGGAGGGCATAAACAGCAAGAAGGGAAGGAAGAAATGCATTTATGAGTTAATTAAAAAATAACAGCTTCCACATCTTCTTCAATTTCAATTTCAGACTGAAGTGGGTTGCCACTCACTTATTAGAGCAGTTTCTGATATGCTGAGAGAAACATAGGTGACAGGTAATTTATTTTAGTCTCCACAGTCAAGGCAAACATTCAATCACAGATAGCCAAGCAGGAAATAATCAAAAGGAAAAAGGTGGTGAGCAGTTAAGATTCCAGCTGTAATCATTTCCAGCAAACCAGACAACGGCATTGACCAGAGCAATGAAGACAATTACAGCAATTACGGGGACAGGCACAATAGAACATAAAGATTTCAAAAAGCTCAGTTTGGAAAGTTCTAAATTTAATTTGTTGAATTCAAATGATCAACTGTGTGTGCTCACTTCTTACATGTTGACATAAAAAGTAATGTACAGGGAACTCTTGCTGGATTCGATTCCTCTGCAAGTCTCTCATCAAACCCTTGAAAATTGCTAATAAGGCGCAAAGTTCAGTGACCATTTTATATATGAAAATAATCTAGATTATGTGAGTCATGAGGAAATGTGGAACTCCATCATCACATCCAAAGGGTGGGATTTACATTTACATTTTCAGTGACGCTCAGCATAACAAGGATGTTACACTGCTTGGTCAGACACAAATGTATCTCAATCTTAGAAGACTGTACATGTGATTAATTATTTGTGAACTGCTTTAGAAGTCCGGTTGATCCCAAGAAAGTTGGAAATAGCTTGCAGAGGTGTTGCCACACAGGAACAGACTTCTCAATTTGATTTCCATCACCAAGTTCAACTATTCCAATGCTTTACATCTTCCACACTTTAAGTCTCAGCTCATCCAAACTCTGCTGCACTTGTACCAAGTTCCATTCACCTTCTGATCCATATTGACTCAAAGTCAAACAATGCCTTGAATTTAAGATTCTATAAATTACAACATGCTGTGAACCTTCTCTATATCTGTAAACTGCTCCAGCCCTCCAACTCCCCTATCCCTCTACGTTCCTCTATTTCTGGTCTCCTGTGTACCTAATGTTTCTTCACACTCTCACTGCTAGCTGTGCCTTCAGTATCGAATAATACTCTTGTGTTTTGTAACACTGATGACAGTAAATTATTGCTGTTGATGCTGCTGAACATCCCAAATGAATATCTGGAATGTCTAATTCTGCTGATCTCATTGTGGGTGGTATTTGTGGCATTGCACTTAATCTCTGCAGGAGCAAGAATTAAACATTAGTCCAGGTTCACCCAAGTTCACTGGCCTCTACCCAGCAACTCTCATTAGCAAGTATAGCAACAGTGTGATGGCAGGTATTGATTCAACCCATGATGCCCCTCACAAATAAATTGCTTTCTGTCTGAAATAACCACGTTGGCAAGATATTGAGGAACATAGGTGCCTCTGTTATAAGAGGTAATGTATTTCACCACCTTCAGGAGTGGGGGTACAAAATTAGGGGAAAAAATGTGCACACCACATCAATTTTGCAAACTGCAACATACTGCACAGCCAATAGTATTAAACAAACAGAATCAAATACTCAGTAAACATTTTTTGCCAGGGCATTAACATTTTCATGATAAATGGAAATCTAACTCATTTTGAAATGAAGTAATATGAAATTCTGTTATAGCACATTTGTTCCAACTGGTGCACACTGGTATTAATGTTGCACACAAACCTTTTCTTATTCTTCCTCAGTGAACACCATCAGCATTTCCCTCTACTTCTTTCTCCCATGTGATTATTGAGTTTCCCCTTAAATGCAATTACAGAGGCTCACTTCACTTTATTTTACTGTCTGTTGAGTTGGTAATATCCAGAATTGGGTTGCATTCACATTACAACTGTGATGTTTATCCAAAGCAAAGTTAAACTGGAATGGCTTTTGTGCAATTGTAAATGCACCTTAATAGAGATGTAATGTACACAGACATAATGGTCCCACAATTCTTAATGAGGGAAAAACAAGATAATACTCATTTTCTCTGACATCAATAATCTAACAGAGTCTCATATGTTATATTCTGATGCTGTTAACAAATGGTCAGGAAAAACAGGTACTCAAAATGAATTTTGGGCACAATTGCATAAACAATGATCTATGTCTAACGTGCATCACACTCAAGTCTCAACTGGCAAACAACAAAGTTCTGAAATAGATCTCCCAGAACCTTGCAAAGTGTTACAGGCTTTCAGACAGAGTGTACAGAAATAAAACAAAGTCATATCTCATCAAGCAAAATTCAAACCACATAAAATTGTTTGCTTTCAATCACTTCACAGGATGAACGAGGATTAAAAAGCAATCTGACAGGAACAAACAGGAAGACAATTTATCACATGACAACACTGAGATAACAAGGTGTAGAGCTGGATGAACACAGCAGGCCAGGCCAAGCAGCATCACCTGCTCCTGTGATGCAGCTTGGCCTGCTGTGTTCATCCAGCTCTACATCTTGTTATCTCAGATTTTCCAGCATCGGCAGTTCCTACTATCACATGACAACACTACCTTGTTCTGGCATTACTGATCTCCGGTCTACAAAACGAGATTTCAAAAATGAGATATGGGGCTCATTTTACAAGTGATGTGGAGTTTGTTCACTTAAAGCAGCTGCACAAATTAGCAGTAATAATAAGACAGTGTAACTTTGTGATATTTGTGATATTCAATGCAGCTAATAAAATGCGTTCATTTATTTCTAGGGAAATTGAATATAAAAATAGGAGGCTGTGCTTGTTACACAGGAGACATGACATAGGGAGTACTGTATAAAACTGGTCAAAGGCTCTTGTGACACCATGGTAGTGTCTGTGCCTGTGAGCCAGGAGGTATAGATTCAACTCACATCCTCTCCAGAGGTGTATCAAAATATCTCTGAACAGGGTGATTAAAAATATCAATAGCATTTGCTAATTTAGTTAAGGATGTACATGCTTTGAAAGCAGTTCAGAGAGAACTCACTGGACTAATAAATAGAATGGGTAGGTTTCCTTAAGTTTGGACAGACTAGATTTGTATCCAGTGAAGTTCAGAAAAATAAAAGATGACCCTATTGAAACATACAAGATCCTGAGGGGCCTTGACAGGTGCAGATGTTCATTTTTATGTGAGAATCTTGTACCAGGGGTCACTGTTTCAAAACAGGGGGTCACAGAGATGAGATAAAACTTTAGAACAAACATGATGAAATTTGCTCTCAGAAGGTTGAGTTTTGTTTTTAATTTGCTCATGGTGTGTGGGATAGCTGGCTGGGTTGGCATTTCCTGCTCATTGCTAATTGCACAGAGGGCAGTTAAGAGTCAACCACATTGCTTTGGGTCTGGAATCACATGTAGACCAGATGAGCAAGGATAGCAATATCCTTCCTCAAGGTACATTGGCGAACCAGACTTTTTTTATGATGATCGGCAGTCGTTACTTATTCACCATTAGAATAATTTTTTATTCTAGATTTTTAATGAATTCAGATTTCACCTTCTGCCATGGTGGGGTTCAATCCCATTGACCCAGAACATTAGCCTGGGTTTCTGGAGAACTAGGCCGGTGCCTCCCCTTCAGGTGCGCTCTCGCTGAAAAGATGGTGGATGCAGAGTTTTTGAATACAAATAGGTGGATAGTAAGTGGGTGAAAAGTTATGGAGGGTAGGCAGGAATGGGAACTGGAGGTTACAATCAAATCAACCATGAACTTGTTAAATAGTAGAGCAAGCTCAACAGGCAGGAGTGCTCACTCCTGCTGCTTGGTTGTAAACATTTGAATCTCTACAACCAATTCAGTAACAAAACTACAGAATCTAGTAGCTGGATGAGTCACAATAATGTAATGGGCATCCAGTAAACAACTTGCAGTCACACAGAATTTGCAAAGCTTAATATGGCTACTAACAGTGGAACAACTTAAAAACTGCAGGAGTCCAGACCTGGAAGGGGTAGAGATCTCAAATTGCAGTGCTGAAAGGAGGTTTGAGTTGCAGAAGGGCGAGACCACTAAGTGACTTGAAAACTTGGAAGGGAATTTTAAAAGACAAAGACAGTCAGTCAATCAGGAGTCAATGCAATCAGAAAACACAACTGTGAATGGGATTTCAGGCGTTGTGATAGGGATTCCATGAGTTGTGATATGGGCAGAGATTTCAATGAGGTCAGGTTTATGGATGGTGCAAGAGATAGACTGGACCATATTGGAACAGTCAAGTCAAGAGGCAACATAGTCTTGGATAAGGGTTTCAGCAGCGAGTAAGTTGAGGCGAAACAAAGAAGGGCGATGTTGCTGAGGTGAGAGTAGGTGATTTCTGTAATGGATAGGCTAATTGTCTATTACTATGTTCTACCATTCTAAATTACAACGCTTTACTCCCTCTCTCTGTTAGTTCCCTTGAAGCCAGCTAGAAACAGACTTATGGGTCTGAAGGCTAAAATGAATTCTGAGACAGGATGAGCAGAGATGGAAGACAAACTACAGAAGGAGACATATTCAAGATTAGGGCATGGGGGTTGAATTTTCAGTCTGGGGAAGGGAGGGAAGTGAGAGGATAGACCACTGGAAGCACACATTCCTTCACGTTATCCCTGCAGAAATGAATAGCCAGGAAGTGTGCAGAACTAATCACGAGGCAGGAAAACAATGGCAATTTTGGTTGTCACCACGAGACTGAGGCAAAAAATGGACTTCAGTCAAGAACAGCAAACTGTTGACCTGAATCCCATAGAGTAGCTAAATAAAAGTTGACAAAACGGTAGAACTATCATAAGCTCAGCAGGTGACAGCAGCTGTTGGGTAACGTAAGATAGACAAAATTAACTTTAAACACTATGTCATTCAACAGCAGATCAGAACAGCAGTAGTCAAGTCCAATAGGATGCTACAATGGAG